GAGGGAGACACAGAATCTGTGGCAGGCTCCAAGCTCTCTAAGCTGTCAACACAGAGCCCGACGCGAGGCTCGAACCCACAAACCATGAGATCATGACCTGAGCTGAAGTCGGACCCTTAACCGACTGAGCCACCCAGACGCCCCTTCTCATACTTACTTTGAATGATGTCATAATTGAGAAGGAAAAGTCCCATGTAAACTTAGAAATCATTACAAGATGAAAAGAAAAGAGCCTAATTTCCTGAGTGACCAAAGGCCATATAACGACCATAGACCATATAAATCATAAAGTCAGGGTATGGGGTTCATTGTTAATAACGTGGATGCAAATCTACCTTTTATTAATCTTCCTGATAACTTAGAATTAAAAAAATTTTTTTTCAATGTTTATTCATTTTTGAAAAAGAGAAAGAGACAGAGCACAAGCAGGGGAGGGGCAGAGAAAGAGGGAGACACAGAATCCAAAGCAGACTCCAGGCTCCAAACTGTCAGCATAGAGTCCGGCGCAGGGCTTGAACCCATGAACTGTGAGATTATGACCTGGGCCAAAGCTGGAGGCTCAACTGACCGAGCCACCCAGGCGCCTCCCCTAATAACTTAGAATTTTTCAGTGAGCTTCTCGTCAGATCTTAAGAGTGTCTCTGTACTTAGTTCATCAATGGCTGATGAAGAGTTTGAGTAGGAATAGAAGTTTCAGGTCTACCTTCTTTGGACAACTGCTGTAGGTATTACACTCAATCCACTGTTTTTTTTCCAATAATCTTTTAAAGCCACTTGCTCACTTTCTGATGGTTAACTAAACTAACACCTCCAGAAAAGCGTGCACACTGACCATCTGGCGTCCAGACCAATCAAGAACACAAGGCTGAAGTGTGTACTAAATGTTAGCAATGCTTAATTTCTTGTCTTTTAAGTTAAAAAATAAAAAGAAGTTCTAACATTTTCTTCCCATTTCCCAGAGAACTTAATCATGGACTCATAGAGTACATGAACTTCTCACTGAAGATCACTACTTTTGAAACTATACCAGACAATGAGAAAGATACATAAAACAAGAAAAAAACAGTCTAGGGGCGCCTGAATGGCTCAGTTGGTTAAGTGTCCGACTTTGGCTCAGGTCATGATCTCATGGTTTGTGGGTTCGAGCCCCGCGTCGGGCTCTGTGCTGACAGGTAGCTCAGAGCCTGGAGCCTGCTTCAGATTCTGTGTCTCCCTCTCTCTCTGACCCTCCGCTGCCCACGCTCTCTGTCTCTCTCTCTCAGAAATAAATAAAACATTTAAAAAATTAAAAAAAAAATCTAGCCAGGAAATAGACAAATATAAATGATTACAGTTATTGAGTGCTATAATTGGAGTAAATGTAAAGTCCCATGCAAACTTAGAAATTATTACAAGATGAAAAGAGCCTAATTTCCCGAGTGACCAAAGGCCATAACAGCTGATCTCCACTTAAGCTCTGAATCCAAAGCTCTTTCACCTACTCAGTTTTCCCACTGGCATCCTGTTGCTACTCAGTTTTCCCACTGGCATCCTGTTGCTAAAATAACAAAACTCTTTTTTGACTTCATTTCCCCCAAGCTACAGTCCTGTTTCTATATTTCCATTTTTTTAACTCAACAATCCCAGAAAGAGCTGTTTTTATCTGAAGCTTCCAACTCAGTAGTCACTAGTCATATGTGCTGATTTAAATGTAATTAAATTAAAAATGTAAAAAAACAATTAAAAATTCAGTTACTCGATCACAGAAGCCACATTTCAAAAGCTCAACGGCCATGTGGGGCTAGTGCTACATATCATATTGGGTAGCAGAGATACAGAACATTGCCCACATTGCCAAAAGTTGTATTGGACAATGCTGGTCTAGACGATGATAGAGTAAGTGAAACCTCCAGATCCACACTGCCTGGGTTCAAATCCCAACTTCTACCCTTTTAGCTTGGGTAAACTTGGGAAAGTTATTCCCCACTGCTCAATTGGGTTTTCTCAAAAAATCATAAAAGGAGGAGAGTAGTAATTAATTCCTGCTTCCTTACATTATTGTGAGGTTTAAGATTTACATGGATAGTACTTAGAATAGTCCCAGCACATAAAAGTGCTCAATAAATATTAGATATTCTTATTTTTATTCTTGGTATTATTCTCACTGACCCTACCTCATCTCCCATTTTTTTTTAACCTGCTCCAAAAGGGTTTGTCTAACCACTGGAAGATTTGTCAAGGTTTACCAAATTCTCCATCTTGCCAAATCCAATGGTCAATTCTCAGTCTTCACCTTACTTGACCTTTCAGAACTCAAGTCTGTCTTCTGAAATGTATCTAAAATGTTTCCCATATTTGGCGTCCAGGATACCATATTCTTTCCTTCTCACTCTCTCTCTCTCTTTATGTTTATTCATTTTTGAGAGAGAGAGAGACAGAGACAGAGACAGAGACAGAGCATGAGTAGGAGAGGAGCAGAGAGAGAGGGAGACATAGAATCTGAAGCAGGCTCCAGGCTATGAGCTAGCTGTCAGCACAGAGCCCAAGGCAGGGCTCGAACCCACGAACCGTGAGACCATGACCTGAGCCAAAGTCAAAGGCTTAACCATCTGAGCCACCCAGGCGCCCCTCTCTCTCTTTTTTTAACGGCTGCTCTTTCTTAAATCTTCTTTGATGAATTCTCTTTTGATTTCTCAATGTTGGAGTATCACAGAACTCACTCTTTAGTTTTCTTCTTGATTCAAGTTATAGTAGGTAATCTTATTTAGTGTCATGGCTTTAAGTACTACCTGTTGATCACTCCTAAATTATATCCTCAACCTTGACCTACTAGGCTCTAAACTCATAACCAACTAACAATACAACAACTGCACTTAGAAGTCTAAACAGGCATTTCAAAGTCAACATATGTAAAAGAGAGTTCTTGATTCCCTTATGAGGCCGAATTGGCTAGGATGTCCTATACTGACAAAATGATTTTAAGTTTTCAAAGCATTTTCTTATATATTAAAAAATTATCTTTATAAAAACCTCATTAGAATAGGAGGTGTTAATTTCATTTGTCAGATGAACATTCTGTGATTCAGATATGTTGGGCAGGTTTTTAAAAAAGGCATATTGATTATCTCATATAACTCAGAGTAAGCAACAGAATCTGAGTCTCCTTATCATCCCTATGTATTTTCTGCTAAGTTAGAATCCCTAGCAAGACATATTCAGTCTTTAGAAATGGTGACTTTACAGGTGAGTTTACAAACAGCAGGGAAAGGAACACACAAACTAACATGGCAGAAGACAGACAGACGTGTCTTAGCCGCCATGTATACTGATCCATATACCTTTATAAATACCAATTATTATTTACAATGATTGCTATGATATCATCCAGAGTAATTTCACTATTTTTTAGAAAGGTCCCATTTTGCTGAGGTTTCTACTCATTAGAAGGTAAGTAAGCAGCCTTGTCTGAACTCGTACAATGACATTTATTTTTACAATGATAAAAAACTATCTTTGTTCTCCATGGCCTGGCTCATAATACGTGCTCAATATTTATCAACAAACCTTGAACGGGTGCAAATGATTATTTAGTTTAACACCACATATTCTCTAACTTCTATAATCTTATTCATGTGTGTTTTAGGTTCTCAGTTTTTTAATTGACAGGCTTTAGGCTTTCTTTTTAGACAAGTTTTAGGTTTATAGATATTTGTAGATTTTAAGGAAAAAATGCAATAAAGTTCTAACTGCTAGAGAAATACAAAAAAAATTCAATTTCATCTATCATATGAGTACAACACGGCTAATTATGTATAAACATAAGTAATTTAAACATCAGTAAAGGATGATCTTTATGTCCAGTAATTATTATTTCTATATTAAAATGTAACATTTTCAAACACCAAATAAATATTCTTATGTCAATAGTCACATTAAACATAGTGAGTTACAACCAAGATATAAGGAAAACCATCAAATAACTATTTCAGTATAATAGTGTACATATATATAAGGCTCAAATTCCAGAATCACTGTTATAGTTACATAAAGTCAAGATTAGCCGGGTCCAGGAACTAATGCATCCTTAAATTCTTTTGTGTTGCAGATTTTTGTCCTGATTTCTGTATATTAGAACCCTTGTAATTCAAACATAAATGAGATTTCACCCACTTGCCTCCAATTAATTTGCTGTAAAAGAAACACCATATTATATGCTTTTGTTTGTTTGTTTGTTAAGTGGAAGATATGTTATTATTTCCAAGATAGCAGGGATTCAATGTTTAATTATCAACAGCCATTTGAAAAGACATTGCTTTGACTCACAGATTTCTTAATTGCTAACTGTGGCTTTTCTGAGGAGGAGGAGTGCTGTATCTAATTTATTTTTGCAGATGTGATTTAGAAACTGAATTTGAAAGTAGCAAGGCTCTGAATATCTCCACTATCAGCAGAAAACTCCTCCATCCCTGCTGCTGGAGAATATTGCTGCTTGAAGTTTTAACAGGAAAATAAAAACTGCAGTGAGAAAATTGATACTACTGGTAAAGGCTGCTTACAAACTGAAAAAGAAGTCAGGTTGTCAGCAATAAAGGAACTATATTGTTCACACAAAATAGGACGTGTCATCTTCATCACGGTAACTTGCTGGGAATGAAAATTAATTTGGCTGGTTCCCTCTTGAGGAACCTAAAGAAAGCAAATATCTCACAGATCAGAGAATCTTTACGAAGCATCAGCAACTGGCAATCCTGATACCACCGCCTAACTCCTCCCTGAGGAGCAAAGACTGTACAAGCATCTCAAGAACAGGGGCCAAGGTTCACTTCAAAGCGGGTTCATTTGTCACTGAAAAACAAAGTTAGTGTTTTATGTGCTGGAAGGGTAACTAGTTGAAAATGCCCCTATCTCTCTGGAACATGGCATCTTCCATTAATTACTGCAATTAAATGAGCAAGAGAAAAGAATATGTATTTTAATTACAAACTCAAACATGAAGTCAAAAGTAACATAAGAATGCCTACCAGTCTGGCTGAGCTGAGAAGCACTGCGACTCTTCCTGGAGAGGCCAACAATGGCTACCATTTTGGCCCCAATGCTAGAGCGCCGCTTTTTGCCACCGGTGCCCAGGGCGCCCACTGCGGTGTCAGACTGGCTGCCATCGTTCTTCTCCAGCGAGCACATATCTCCGCTGATGCTGGTGCTTTTGGTCATGTTCTTCCCTGAGATGCCCATTTGTCTGCTTTGCATTTTGGATGTAAAGACACTGTCAGCCGATGGATCGTTAAAAGTGAGGACAAGAGTGAAAAGGAAAAGACAGAAAATGTATTTTAGATGAAACATCTGGAGTAGAATGAAAGCATATCATTTATGGGACATATTTTTAGGATTTAAAAACTTTCAAATACCATGGTCTCAAATGGGCTCTACTATTCAGGGTCAACCTAACGCAGCTATGTAAACTCATGATTTCACATCTGCTGTCAAAGAAGGCACTGGTTTGTGTGGCCGTGGGGGGGAAAATTCACAAAAAATCAGTGGGCTTATTTAAGAGAATATACTGTCCTGCAAGTACAAATATGCTTTAAACCAGCCATATGACAAAGGGAGATGTTCCCAAAGCACTCCTCTCTAATATACTTTACTGCTGCCTTCAAAAAGAAATTAGTTCAGTGGGCGAATTTTTAAAGAAAAACAGCAAAAATGACAGCATCCACTGCAAAGAGTGGCCTTTCAAAATAAGTTTTCTTTATCTCAAAAGAAATGTAAGATTTATCAAATAACGGTTATATTTTCTAACAGGGATTGATGTTTTCATTAGTTTTGAATTAAAAATAAGTTATTTGACTTTATATAATTTTACATTTATCAATATGTCTATATTCCAAGTAATAATGAATAGAAAGATTTCCCTCTTGCATTCATTTGAAAGAAAAAAAATCCTCATTATCCATTTTCTAGACAACGTGATCAGGAAGCAATCAATGAGTCAAGGAAGCATGTGAGCTGATTGATGATTACTGATTACTGATGATGATCACTGATTAGCTGATTCCTCCAATTGGCAGTGTTAATAGTGATTACTGATTCCTCCCATTGGAAGTAGTCAGGAGACTAAAACTGCCAACCAGTTAAAGACAGGACCCTTAATTTTTCTATGATTACTGGGGTGTGGTAGGAAGTCAAGTGGGGGTTGAAGAATCTGGAAGCAGGCTATCCAGCTGGGCCCCCCAAACATGGAAGAATGTGAAGGAAGCAGCCTGCTTTGCAGGAATGGGAAGACTTATTTACAGGTCTGAGTCGGGATTAGAGTCATAGTTTCTGCTTTAATTCGGTACTAATAGGAGTGAATAACACATAATTATAGAAACAAAAGAAAAAACAAGAAACATTAGAAATACCTTTATATATCATTTAAAGAGTGAGAATTGGAAAAGTGATCTATTGGGGAAAGCTCTTATTTCTAATTCAATTTCTTGAATTAGAAATTACTAATTTCTAATTACTCCCCCCGCCCACACTCCAAATTTTTTTACTCCATCCTAGAGTTAAAATCTGCAAAAAGGCCAGGACCATGTGTTAATTTTATGTACATTTTCTACAAGTATTTAAGAGGGGAAAAAACCTTGAGGTCACTAGGAATGAGTTTTGAATAGTTGCCCTCCAGTGCTATGTTGTGAGAAGAGGGAGACTCAGGCTAGGGTATCACCACCGGTTTCCTTGATTTCCTGTTCTGTATCATCTACACTTACCAAGCAAACAAGCTATTAACCAAACAATTTTAAAATTTTGTGACTCTTGATTCATAAAGTACTTCACTGTAAGAAAAAGTCTGTAAACATGGGTGATCGTTTGCAATGCTCGGTGTAGTTAAAAAGCATAGATCTAGTACATCATCAATTACTTTAAAAGAGACCATTTGTAAGGGCCTGGTGATACAGTAAATTTCCAATAATGCTAGCAGGGGTCTCAGCGATGGCCTTCTGAAGGACTAGCTGGCAATATGTAACAAAGTCCTTTAAAAAAAAAAAAAAAAAAGCCTAGCTTTTAAACGATTGAGTCTACTTTTAGGTACATCCTCAAGGAAAACTTAGCAATGTGTACAGATTTAGCAATAATATTTACTGCAAAATTGATTCTAACAACACACTCATACACACAAGGGAAAACCCCACAAATGCCCAATAGTTAAGGGTATTTCGGTAAGTTATGTTCATCAATAAAATAGAGTCTACCTTTGAAAATGCTGTTGTAAATAAGTATTTACTGACATAAAATAGGTTTTTGATATAGGGGGAGGGGGAGAGGAAGCAGATATTTGCAGCTAGCTTTGGCTGGCCCGCACATCAAATATGGATTTACCCTACTGCTATGGACACAGATCAATTCAAACCCTAGAGGCTGTCCTTCCTTCCTTCCTTCCTTCCTTCCTTCCTTCCTTCCTTCCTTCCTTCCTTCCTTCCTTCCTTCCTTCCTTTTCCTTCCTCCTTTCCTTCCTTCCTTTTCCTTCCTTCCTCCCTTCCTTCGTATCATCTATCTGTCTGTCTGTCTATCTATCTATCTATCTATCTGTCTGTCTACCATCTATTCTTGCTAAACTAGATAGTAAGGGAAACCTGGATTTGTGAAATGATCTATGATTTCCCTGCACAAGAGGCAAATAAAGGGAATTGTGAAAAATAAAATTTTATGTTTAGAATGTTTATGTTCTTATGGAGAAAAAAAAAGTATAAATGTACACAGCAAAAGATCTAGAAGGATATACTGTGCACAGTGCACTAAAAGTAGTTTCAATGTTCTCTGGTTGATAGTTATGCTTTTTAGAACCATTCTTTTTTTCTCTATGCCCCCCTCCAATATATAGCAATAAGAAAAAAAAAAGAGATTACCACACAATAACCTTGGGTGTTTTTACAGGATACTCAGTTCTGGAAAAAGATGCAGCATTTCTATATTTCTGAATATTGTTTTATATATGTTTTCTAATTTTTGGCTTTAGAAAAACAGTAAAAAACTTCATACATTTAGTACTCTCAAAGTAAAATATGTAAAATTGCTGGTGCAAGTGATCTATTTTATGACATAATTGTTATAATTGTTGAAATTGTATCCAGAAAGATTTTCTAAAAGGCAAATTTAGCATATTGTCAATCATGAGGAGAAAGGTGATGAAAGGTAAGTGAAATATTTATAGATATTCCTCAAAGACTTAAATGGCAGTATCAAGGATTATAAGAGTAAGTGATTAAATTAAATGAAGTTTATAGGCCATAGGGCCCAAAGTGTTAATTAATAGTTTGGATGAATAGAGCTAAGTAGTTTGGCTTAAAATAATAAACAGCAAACACAGGACAAAGACAAAGTCTGAGTGTGTGAGAGTAAGGGCACAAGAGTAGCACTGTAAATAAAATATACAGTATATCAAAAATATGTCATCATACTGAGAGCTGGGGAGGTGGTTAGGAGAGACTTAGCCAAGGTATTAGAGACTGGGGGTGGGGGTCCAGAATGGTGTAGCCACAGAAAGCCCAGGAGCTAATACAGTGGAGTTTGAAAACTACAGCTCAGGAATAGAAAAGATATTTCTGGATAGGAAGTAGACAGATAATTCTAGGAATGGAAGGATTTATAACATCTTGGGCTAGGAAGTGGTGCTAACAGAGGGCCCGTAGGCTCAGAAGGTAGAAGGCAATAAGAATAATGGCAGAGATGGGGGAAGAAACAACCAGCGAGACTGGCCAAGCTCTCAAACATTATGGCACCTTGAAAGGTTTAATTCATTTTCCTTCCCATTGTTATGTTTCTGGAGCCGGTGCCAACCATTAACCACATACCTGCCATTGTGATAACTCATATGTGATTCCCCCGTTGCCCGTCACTGGGCAGATGTCTGGATTATAAAGTGTCTTTTCTTGAATTCTGGCATGTACTTTGGGTGCGAGAACGAGGGGTAATAAATTCTGCTCCTATCTAAAGTTCTCTTGATTAAAAATTTTCTTCTTATTAAATACTTTGCCTTTCCTAAAATGTGGAACTTGAAATGATTATTATCCTAATTTATGATTTAATAAGCTTCATTTCATTTACTCAAATGAGCATCTGTAATTTTAGGCTAAGAAAGCAGTAATAATTTATTCAACCAATGTTTATTTAACATCTATCTCCACAAATACAGAGATAAAAAAATGATATGACATAGTTTCTTTTAATTAATTCAAATATCAGCATGTAAAATGCAAATATGGCTGCATAATGACATGGTCTTAGTTTATAATTGAAATTCTTATGCCCAATTCTAATGTCAAGAAACCTTAATTAACAATTTAAAAAAAATCTTTCTCTGAAGAGTATGTAAAAACTGAGTTTCCTATACTAATTCTTTGATTTCTGGAAATGACAGAAATTTAAAATTTAGTATTTAATAGTGTTACAGTACTATATTTACATGCATTCAATCCCCTTAAATTGTTTTATTGTTTCATGCACACCTTTCAGCGAAACCCAATTATTTCTATATGTAAATATTTTAGGCAGGAATAGACTTCCCTCTAACTCATTTTCATTTTGGCTTCTTCTGATTTTATTACATGATCACACTGTATTTGCTGTACCATAAAAAGGTCTATGACAAATATTAGAAGGTATTCTTACTGGCCTATCACTTCAAGCATCAATTTACATTTTCCACCATTCTTATCAATATCAAAGGAACACAAACAGTTAAGATTTTGTGAAAATTGAGAGCTTTATTCTTGTTCCAACTCTATGTGTATCAAGTTTGTAGAGTATTTAACAGATGATGACTTTTTTGTACTACTGAAATGATTACACTAAATAAAAATTCACATTATGCCTCTAAAAATAATATGGAAAGCCAAACCATAATATGAAAATATACTTGGACTATAACTTACCTAGCTCAAATCAGACATGATGAAAATATTCCTGGACTGTAAGTTTTACCTATATAAAATCACTAGATGTTGTGTTCCAAAATCTACCAAAAATGTATGAATGGCTACATATTAAGGGTATTAAGTTCCTCAGATGATAAAGTACAAAATACATTAGTCCTATAGTTTGAAAAATAGTGGATACTCTGATTTTTTTGAAAGCTTGATTACAAATCAAACCCAAATTTTACAAATATCTCTACTTTGTGTAATCCTGTGGCATGCAGGATTTCAGAGTAAGGACATGCTTTAAACTTACCTATCTTGATGAAGTCTAATTATTCATTAACCATAAAGCTCCCATAGCTAATCA